TCCCCAAATCTAAGATGCATGTCAGACAATTATGGAGTGATCACAGACTTCCTCCTACCTCAAGGCTTCTATCATCACCATACGAGCAACTAGATTTCGGGAATCAGATTCCGAATAAAATGCCCCCTTGTTGGATTCTCCACCTTTTGAAAGATGAGATTAACATGAAGGCAAGTTAAGAAATTATTAGCTGCTCTACTTTTTGGAGAGAGAGAGAGAGAAAGAGGAGGAAGAGACAGGAATATGGATCAGATATAGGGGCATCAAGAGATAGAGGAGGGAGGAGACAAAAAAAAGACAGCAAGCCCTCTAGCAGATGTCTGGATAATTGAATCCTGTATCATGATGCCTCTATGCTAGGCCTGTGATTTGTTTCTCAAACTCATCTATTGCCTCTTTCTGTCCAGGTGGTCTGTAGTCAGAGATGTGCTGGTGTCAGCTTTAGCTTGAATCATTACATATCAGGTGCTTTAACAAATTAGATCTGGGTGGATTATTTTGTTGATAGTCTAGAATTTAAAAAGTCTTAATAATGCAGTGTAATTTGGAAGCAGAAGTCCATAATTTACACACACTTACACTCCTCCAGAAAACTGGATTGTTAAACATTTACCAATACAAACCTCAGTTACTCTATAAATTTTACCTGAGCTCAGCAAGGAGTATACTAGGCCGCCAGACATCAGGGAATGATGTTATCACCCGAGCAGAGACTTGGTAACTCCAATCAGAATAATAATGATAACAATATTGGCAGTCATCTGTTTTAACAATTCTGCAAACCTAAACAACACATCAAGAAAGTGTCACATCTGTAGTGTTTTACAGGTGGGGAACCTTCTGGTTTTACCCATAATCCTTTTGGGGGGGGTTTGAGGCAATCAAGGTTAAATGACTTGCTAGGGTCACATGACTAGTGTCTGTATTGAGATTTGAACCCAGGTCTTCTTGTCTCCAAGACCAGTGCTTTATCTACTGCACCACTTAGCTGCCCCACCATAATCCATTCTTCAAAGAAGGGAGGGAATAGCCGAATCTTCCAATGCTTTGTCTTCATTATATTTATCATTTCATACTGCCTAGTAAGTACACATTCAGGTACCACAGCTTTTGTTTTTGTTGTTCAGTCATTTCAGTTGTGTCCAACTCTTCGTGACCCCATTTGGGCTTTTCTTGGCAAAGATACTGGAGCGCTTTACCATTTCTCTCCAGCTCATTTTACAAATGAGAAAACTGAGGCAAACAGGGTTGTGACTTGCCCAGGATCACACAGTGTCTGAGGCCACACACTTTATGCAGATCTTCCTGATTCCAGGCCTGGCACTGTGATCCACTGTGCCACCTAGCTACCCACAACTTTGTTAGCTGCTCCCAGATGGATGAGCATCTACTTTGTTTCCACTTCTTTGCTATTACAAAAACTTGCTGTAATGGTTACTGTCCACAGAAGCTTTATTGGTATCATCCGTCGTCTTGGGGTTTATGCTTTAGCAGGGTGCTGTCTGGATCATGCTATAAGGACAGCTTAATCAACGTTCTTGGAATCATTCCAGATTGCTTTCCAGAATGGTTGGGCCAGTTTCCCAACTATGCATTAGTGTAGCTTTTTCATCCACAGCCACTCCAGAGTGGACGATTCCTATCTTTTATCATTTTTGCTGATTTGCAGGGTGTAAGGTGAAATATCAGAGTTCCAACAAACAATTATTTTTAAGCATTTACTGTGTGCTAGGCATTAGAAATACATAGATATAAGTATACTGCCTTCAAGGAATTTGTCTTGTAGGAGGGAGACAATATGTATCCATAGAGAAAAGGTAAATGGTTGGTGGGGAGAAACAAACAGCTAGGCGGCATGAACCCAAGAAGTCTGTGCTTGAGCTGAGCTCCAAAAGGAGCCAGAGAAAGAAATCTCCGAGAGGAACAGGAGAAGAAATCTGACTGGAGCAGATCGAGGGAGACTTTTCGAGGTGCCATCGAAGTAGATTTGTCTCGAGTTCTGGTTGGAATGTTTTGGGAAGAATGTTAACAAATTGGATTATTACGGAGGGATGCCCATGATGAAGAGGGGAGCTGAAAGCCATACTGTCTGAAGATAGGTTGAAGAAACTAGGGCTGTTAAGCCTGAAAAAGGGAAGACTTAAGAGGGGAATGATTTGTTTCAGTTGTATCCGACTCTTCCTGTGACCCCATTTGGGGTTTTCTTGGCAAAGATACTAGAGTGGCTTGCCATTTCCTTCTCTGGCTCATTTGCCAGATGAGGAAACTAAGGCAAATAGGGTTAAGAGACTTGCCCAGGGTCTCACAGCTAGTAAATGTCTGAGGCCAGATTTGAACTCCGGTCTTTTTGACTCCAGGGCTGGCACTCTATCCACTGTGCCACCTAGCTGTCAATTCTCTTCTATATCCCTTCATTCTCCTAGCCAGCCAGGTTTTCAGATGTCTCGTGAAAATTTATCGCAGAGGCCCTAGGGATACCTTAACTAGGGGAGAGCATCTGGTACTTTGGCTTTATAGACAGACCTTTGCCTGACTGGGAGTGTGGGGTGTGGGAAGCCAGGGCCAAGAAAAGGTGGAGGAGTCATGGACAGAGGTCCATGGAGCAGAGGTCAGGGATAAAAAGGGAAAACTAACTCTTTTCCTAACATGACTGGAGTAGCAGTAGAAGACCTGTTTCCGGAAGGCTCATCCTATGCCCCTCTTCCCCTGCCTGCCCTTGAATTTGCCCCAGAGTGAGCATGGTATAGTGGAAGAGCACAGTCTTGGGACAGAGGACCTAGGTTGGAATCCTGACTGTGTTACTTAACTACCTGTGCAACCTGGGGCAGGTTTCGGGACCTCACTTTCCTACTCTGTAAAACGAGGGGGTTAGATTAAATGCCTTCTAGTTCCAAATTTTATTTTATTTTATCAAAAGAAGCAGCCCTAGGGGAAGTAACCTGGACTACAGACTTGGGGGAGAGGGTGGAGATTGCATAGTGGGAGATGGAGCAGTGCTATGGTAATGGAGAAAGGAACAAACATTAAGCACCTACTGTATGCCAGGCACTATGCACTAGTGTGCACACAACTGTTATCTCTTTTGACCCTAAGAAGTGATCCTAAAGAGAATGAGACAGGAAGTCCTGGGTTCCAATCCCGAGTAGGCCACTCTGGAATTTACCATCTGTGTACCATCGTACAAGATGCTCCATTCCCAGACTCCCAGGCATTTTCAGTGACTGCCCCGCATGCCTGAAATGCTCTCTGCCTCCTGGCCTTCCTGGCTTCCTTCAGTTCCCAGCTAAAATCCCACCTTCTACAAGAAGCCTTTCCTGATCTGCTGTAATGTTGGTGCCTTCCCTCCTTTACCTCCAATTTCTCGTGTATGTATTTTGCCTGTATTGTTTTCCTGTTGTTTCCCCCATTAGATGGTGAGCCTTGAGAGCAAGGACTGTCTTTTTCCTTTCTTTGTATCCCCAGCCTGGCACACAGTAGGCACATCATAAATGCTTGTTGACTGACAGACTTCTCGGAACCTCAGTTTCTTCATCTATAAATACTGCATCCCAATATTCGCACCCCAACAGGCTGTTGTAAAGAAAACTCTTTGTAGTTATTAGGAAGAGGGAGGAGCTTGGGTCTCTACCTTGCCAAGGAAGCTAATGGGGGAAGGGGTGGAGGTGGAGTTGCAGGAAGTCTAGGAAGCCTTGAAGAAACTCAGGCCCCCTAATAGCTTATCTCCTACCCTGGGATCTTGCAGCTGGGTGATCTCAGTGCAAGCTGACCCTGCAGGCTACAGAAGATAAGGGGCGGAGGGAGGAGATTGGAGACACTTGCCAGGTGAGCTGTCTTCCCCAGGGCTTGAGAGATTCCTGAGGCCAGTTTGACCTGTCTCCTCATCCTTCTCCTGGGAACCTTCCTGGCTCAGTTCCCCAGCTGGCTACGGCTGGTTCCACCCCCTTGAGAGCTGTTTCCATCTGTCCTCTGCTTGGGAGGGATGAGGAAGGGGATTTGCCTAGTCAGCAGCTGCTTATCTTCCAGACTGAGTTGTTTATTTTGGAGGAGGGGCAGGGAGGGAGATTAGGTCTCTGAGGCCTGAGGAGGTGAGGGAGGCTGAAGCTCAAACTGGCACCTGCAGGGGAGTCCCCGAATGGCAGGTGCTAGCTAAGGCTCTGAGAGATCCCCTGCCCAAAGCCCATCTTTTTGTGATGAAGAAAACTTGAGGTTCCCCCAAAGGGGAAGTGACTGATCCAAGGCCACACCCCCCAAATTGAGCAGCTAAACTAGTGTTCCAGTGTTCTGCCTGGGGCTGGAGTGGGGCTGGAGTCTTTGTCCCCATGGGGACTGGGGAGCCACTCTCTAAATCCCAAGGGACTTAGAGCTGGAAGTGAAGGGGGGAGGGGCCAGGCCTTTATTCCTCTCCCATTTTTCAAAAAATGAGATTTTTTTTTTTGGTGGAAGATGCTAAAGAATGCTATACCTTTCTTTCCACTCTCACCTTCCTTTCTTTTCTATGTAGTATTTTCTTGTTGCCTCTGCCTGCTAGACTGTAAACTCCTTGGGGTCTGTTTTTACATCACTCTTGTCTTTGTATTCCCTGGGCTGCTTAATGGGGTGTTTGTCTCTTGATTTGAATTTGGTCTGGTCCATTTTCCTCCCTGGGCCTTCCTCTCTAAAATGAGAGAGTTATTTAGCATTGGAGAATCTTGTCAAACCCAAAGGAAAAGGGGACCACTAAAGTGGACAGGATGATAAAACCATTTGCCGACATTATCTACGTTGTATCGTATATTTATTTGGTTAAATATTTCCCAACTACACTTTAACCTGGTTTGGGCCCCAAGGTGCAGGCCATGTGTTTGGACACCATTGGTGTTGCCAACCTAAGGTCTCTGCCAACTCTGAGTCCCAAGGATTTCTTCCAAATGCAGGCGTGTATCCTAGGCCAAAGGAGGGAGCCAGGCCCTCCCATCCCCGAGCCTCTGACCCCCATTCATGGGAATATTTTTTTCCCTTAGGAGCAGAAGATAGTCCCTACTCGGAGACTCCCCCGGGGTCCCAGTGCCTTCATCCCAGTGGAAGAGGTAAGCAAAGGAGTGTTTGGCTGACTGGGGTTGGGGGGAGAAAGGGGGAGAGGGACATCCCAATCCAAGCAGCTACTTAGGGAAGGCTGGAGAAACTTGAGAAAGGTGCAATGCAGGAGGTGCATGCTAGGTGGTACAGTGGATAGAGCACTGGCCCTGAAGTCAGGAGGACCTGAGTTCAAATCTAGCCTCAGACACATAACTCTTACTAGCTGTGTGACCCTGGGCAAGTCATTTAACCCCATTGCCTAACCCAAAAAAAAAAAAGAAAGAAAGAAAGGATGCAGGAGAAGAGCTTTTAAATAATTAAGGGCCTATAAACATAGTTTAACAAGCTAGGCTTAGTAAGTAAAACATTTCTCTGTAATATGAATCACTGCCCTAGCTTGCTTGTGTTAGGAGTCTGGATTTTTAAATATTAGGTTTCCTTGAATCAGCCCTGGCCCTGATTAGGGGCAGGATATTAAAGACTGGGGAGTCCTACTGTATCTCTTGCTTCTCTGTCTGGGGCCCAGGAATTCAGTTCAAGGGTTAGTGACTTCCAGTATCTCTCACTTACCAAGTACTCGGATGGGTTCTTAGTGTAGCAAGCAGCCTGAGAATCCTGTTCTTCCAGGGGGCTCTGGGCAGTTCTGACATATTTCCTTCCTCATCTCATCTAGGCCAGGTCCCAGAGGATCCTTAGGGGCTGGGAAGAATTAGACACCAGGAAGTGATGAGGTTTAGAGGGGTGTGTCAGACCCTAACTAGCCACAGTGGCTGGAGAGGAATTCTGTGCTGGACAAGTGTAGAAGTTAAATTGAAGGGAGGAAGATGAGAGGGTGGCAAACATCCATTCCTCATTTTACTTGATAGGGTATCCTGGAAAGTGACTCAGATTGAATGTTGCCAATCAGATCTCTTTCTCCCTAAGCCTCATTGCTATGTTGCCATTAATGAGCGCCTCTTTTAGTTTAAGGTCAATGCCTAATTGCTCTTAATGTTTTTGCCTTGTTTCCTATTTTTTTTGGGGGGGGGCATCCAGTTCTGTCAACTTGTTAATGATCCATAGCATAGTCACCTCATTTTATCAAGTGAAACACTCTTCAGGAATATGAATGACCATCCCCTAATTGACCAGTATTACATCTGGGTTATTAATGGTGGCATTTTCTTCTTTTTTCTTTGTTCTATTACTTTTTATTATTATTATCAATTTATTTTGATTTATCAACAATCACTTCCATATGCTTTTGAGTTTAAATTTTCTCTCCCTTCCTCCCCACCACCCTCCCCAAGATGGTGCACAGTCTGATATAGGCTATACATTTACATTCCTATTAAACATATTTTCACCTTAGTGATGTTGTAAGTAAGAATTCAAACCAATAGGAGGAACCAGTGGTGGCATTTTCTGACGTCAGCCCTGGCCCTAGGCCTGGCTCTGGTTTGGAGGGGTGGGGGTCCAGAGAGGGCTCAGCATGTAACCCCTCCATATCGTTGGCAGGTCCTGCACCAGGGGCCAGAGGCCATTGAGCATCAGCTGGGTCTGGAGGTTTTGGCCTCTGGACGGCCAGACAATGTCATGCTGGTGATGGGCCTGCACCCCGACTACCTCAACAGCTTCTGGAAGATGCAGGGCCTGCTGTTGCTAGTGGACGGACCCCTGCCCTGCCCCTGGAGGCACTACATTGCCATCATGGTGAGCCCTTGTGTGGTCTTTGGGGTGGGAAGAAGTGACAAGAAGTAGCCCGGGGGACTGGGTTCTAGTCCCCAGCCACTAAACTCACTGTAGACTTGGGCTTCCCTAATTCTGTTTCCTCATCCGTAATATGGGCATAATACTTGTACTTCCTAATTTACAAGGGTGGGAGCTATTACTCTCTGTTTTCTGGTACGTTGTGTGAGAGAATGAGTAAATGAATTAAAAAGCATAGATGGAAAAGCCCACAAGTCCCAAGGTGCAGTAGCAGGGGGGTAGCATGGACCAGAGTGCCTCGGGGTGGTTTGGCAGGTAAAGCCCAAAGGACTGGTGGTTCTAGTAGGATTGTTGACAGTCGGTGTGGTGTGAACAGCCTACTCTGGGGGCTGGGGGGAGTGGGGCGGAGAAGAATAACCTCAAGGTTCTTGATGAGCTTGTAGGGTCTGAATGGGCCAGGAGTTCTGGCTCTTCTCCTGTGAGGTTGGGAATGGGAGAGGGCCGGGATTGATGTCAAGCCAGGGCGGGGAAAGAGGACGGGGGCATTGGGAGAAAGGTCAGGGGGAAAGGGCCCCAGAGCTGGGGTAGGGTTGTTATTCCTACCCTAGCTGCTCCCTGGGCAGGTGGTGAGGTGTGGAGAGGAATTCATGAAAGTAAGTTGTCTGCAGAAATACAAAAGTGAGACAGTCCCTGCCCGCCAAGAGTTTCCATTCTAACTTTTTGTTGTTCAATCATGTCTACTCTTCATGACCCATGTGAGGTTTTTCTTGGGAAAGATACTGGAGTGGTTTGCCCTTTCTTTCTCTAGCTCATTTTACAGAAGAGGAAACTGAGGCAAACAGGGTTAAATGACTTGCCCGGGGTCACCTCACTGCTAAGTGTCTGAGCCTGGATTTGAACTCAGGTTTTCCTGACTCCAGGCCTGGCACACTCTCCACCGAACCATATAGCTGCCACAATTCTAATGGAAGAGATAATACGTATAGAGGGTGGTGGCCAGAGAAAGTATTTTGGTGTAGGCAATCCACAGAATTGTGACAGGAGCTTAAGGGTGTTGATGACTATATTCTTTCCAGAATTTATGGCATATAATACTGATTTCAAATACCTGGTGTGGAGCACATGGTGTACATGGTATACGTGGGCAGATAGCAAGAAGTTGACTAAGAGGTATTTATTAAGCACCTGCCATGTGCTTGGTACCATGCCAACTCCTAGGGATATAAAGACAGGAGAAAAACAAGCAGCATCTTCTCTCCAGGAGTTCACAATCTGAGAGAGAAACCATAGACCAGCAGTTAGGTGCAAACACGATAAATTGGGGGGTGGTTCAGAGGGAAGGCAGAATGAGGTGGGATTCCAAGGCAGCCTCTGGAAGGGGGAAGTAGAGAGTCAAAGTGAAGGCTCTGGACACCGAGGACCAGTCTGACCTTTGATCTACCCCTCCCGGTCCCTTTGGACCATTCTAGTCTGGTTCTACTGACCCGAGCCGTGTCTGTCCAGTGGGTACCCTGCATCAGCCTCCTCATTCATCCTACCCTGATTACAAAACCCACCGGAATGGCCAAACAAGAGGGAGAAGCCTGGGAGGCCCCAGCCTCTCCCTGTTCCCTCACCTCTGTCCTGTTTCCCTGCCATCCTCCTTCAGGCCTCCGCTCGGCATCAATGCTCCTACCTGATCAGCTTCCACATGGCTGAGTTCCTGCAGGTGGGCGGAGACCCTGAGTGGCTCCTCGGTATCCACCGGGTCCCCCAGAAACTCCGAAACCTCAACGAGATCAACAAGTTGCTGGCCCATCGACCTTGGCTCGTCACCAAGGAGCACATTGAGGTAAGGGGGGGACCTCATAATAATAACTATAATAGCTAACATTTATGCAGAGATTTAAGATAGGTAAAGTGCTTTACATGTGTTCTCTCCCATTTGAGCCTCGAAACAATTTTCTGAGGGAGGTACTACTTTTATCCCCTTTTTACAGATGAGGAAACTGAGGCTGGGAGGTGAAGTGACTTTCCCAGATTCACACAGCTTAGGAAGCTTCTGAGGCGGGATTGATTTGAACTCTGGTCCTTCCTATCTCCCAGTCTAACACTCTTTTCACCGGGCCCCTTAGCTGCCCCATGTAAAATAAGAGTTGGACCAGATGATATCTAAGGTTATTTCCATCATTGCTTCTAACATTCTGCATTCTGAGATCTCTTCAAGTTCTGATAGTTTCTGTTCTAAGGTCCCTAATAGACTTATTCCATGGTGGATACCCTGTGCAGGATGAATTGACAGATTAGGTGGGAGGAAACTATGTCAAGGAATGGGGGAGAAAAAGACAAGACAAGGATGTGGTCGATGCCAGGTAGGTTGGGGCCCCAGCTAGAGGGAGTGTCGTTGTTGCCTTTTGTTAATTTGCACAAAAGGTCACCTACCCTTTGTCTTCCATCTTTCTGGGTCCTTGGCCTCAGACCCCAGTGGGTAATATGCAGAGTTGAGCTAAGGGAACAAATCAGCTCGTAGATTTGTGAAGAGACCATGTTCTAGACAGATGTAATAAGCGGGGAATTTGGGGGATTATCTTCCAGGCTCTTCTGACCACTGGCGAGCACAGCTGGTCCCTGGCCGAGCTCATCCAGGCAGTAGTCTTGCTCACCCACTATCACTCCCTGGCATCTTTCGTCTTTGGCTGTGGCATCCTCCCTGAGGGGGATCCAGAGGCCAACCCTGCCCTCCAGGTTACCTCACCATCCAGTGGGCAGAGCAGTCCTCCCAACGGAGATTCCCTTGGCAGTTCTGGGGTAAGTAACAAGATCGGGGACCTGGGGTAGACCTGGCCTTGGGGCCTGGGACCAGAGGGAGGGGAGGCATGTGAGCCCAGCCTGGGTTGGGAAGCTTTTGCTGGGACTACTTTTAAGTCTCTCCCCCCACGCAGGGCTTTGATGCTGTTCGGGAAGTTGAGGCCTTGATGGAGCGCATGAAGATCCTGCAGGAATGCCAGCTGCAAGAAGAGGCAGCCTCCCAAGAGGAGATGGAGAGCCGCTTCGAGCTGGAGAAGTCTGAGAGCCTGCTGGTAGCTCCCACAAGTAAAGCCATTGGGGTGTGGGAGGGGCTGCTCCGTGGGAGGAGATTAATTCATCCCCAAAATATAGATTGATAGGTATGGAAATAATACATTTCAAAGGGTCCTTTACATCTGGAAATAGTAGTAAGTGGTTTTGTCTGTGGATGGTATAACAGCGTCTACTGGTACTCTCTTGGTCAAAATGGACATGTTTCCCACCCTCCGCAAGTAGCCTTTCCTTCCCAGCATCTCATAAGGAATCCTTGTTAGAGCCAGGGAAGCAAATTATAGTTAGAGGAAGGGGACAAGTATGTTGGACAACTTCAAGCAAGGACTTGTGTTTTCAGTAGGGTGGAGAGGGTTTCAGCCTCTAGGCCTTGCCTTTGCGTTCTATAGTGTAGTAGGAGGGACAGACCGAGGGAGGGAGGAGGGGGCAGGGTGAGATCAGACATGTAAAGCAACATCAATTCAAATGAGAACAAAGTTATCTTCACATGTGTCCATGTAGTGAAGATTAGTGCCTTCCTCTGTAAGGACTTGCCCTTCACTCGTGCCAGTTACAGCATTTCCCACCACCACCACCAATGCCATAGTAAGCCTCATGGATTTGCAGCTGTGGTGAAAAAACTCCACTGGGGAGTTTCTCCAAGCTTGGCACAGCAGCCATTCTGAGGTGCACACAGTCTCTCGACCCTGATTTGAGGCCCTTTCCAGATTGATAAAGGAGGACATAGCTGAGAAAAATAAGATTAAAGAGTGTGGAAATCAGTGGAGGGAGAGAGCCTTCCTGGCCGGTGGGATCAAAGAAAGACACCTTGGTGGAGGGGACCAACATTTTGTGCTGGATCTGGGGTAGGTGGGGGTGTTGATAGCAATGCCTGTGGTTACTTTTCATCATGACTCCCAACCTTCGTCTCACTACATAGCAGGAGGGCTGGGACCAGGTGTGCCTACGCTACCTCTCCTCTTACCCTCCTCTGGTTTGGTCCACAGGTGACATCCTAGAACTTACTCCATCCCCTGATGTCCTGTGCTTTGTGGAAGATCCCACTTTTGGGTATGAGGACTTTACTCGGCGAGGCAGCCAGGCGCCTCCAACCTTCCGAGCCCAGGTATCTCTCCCTCGCTTAACTTGGAGAGGTCCCTCCAAATTCATTGGGATTAGTGGGATTAGAACCCTGGAGACAATGGTCACTGGAGGTTGGTGAGGAGGCCCCAAGAAGGCTGATAGGAATGGAAGAAGTTCAGCTCTAGCGTGGGGTAATCTCCTCCCACCCCGTAGTTCCCTTCGAGTCAGAATTCCTTTTAACTAGATAAAAATTTACTTTGGGGGAGTGGGCGTTGGGAGCTGAGAAGAATTGCGGCTGGGCTGCTCCTGGTCCGCCCTCTGCAGTGCCCACCAGGCCCTCCTTCATCCTCCTCCCCTCTGCTCCTCAGGACTACACCTGGGAAGACCATGGCTACTCCCTGATCCAGCGACTCTACCCAGAGGGAGGACAGCTACTGGATGAGAAGTTCCAGGTGGTGTACACCCTCACCTACAACACCATTGCCATGCACAGCGGTGTGGACACCTCTATGCTCCGCAGGGCCGTCTGGAACTATATCCACTGTGTCTTTGGCATCAGGTGAGAAGCAGCCACCAGCCCCTGACCCAAGCACATCCACAAGGCCTTGTGGATCGTTTACTACTTAAGTGGTGTCCCGAGTGGGAGGGAAGGTCTGCTCCAAAAGAGGGGGTAGACACGTACCCTGCCCACAGGGAGGCTTCGGTGCAGTGAGCCATCCCCTAAACCTCCTAAATTATTTGCCTGGAACCTGTTTATCCCCTTTCAGGAGAGAGAATGCCAGACCCCTCTGGTTCTATTCCTACCTTTCCTTCCCGGGTCTTGGAAGGGTCTCATTCCATCTCTTCTAGTACAGGGCATCAGCTGCCCTCCCTCCGCTCCTCCCGTTTCCACTAAACAGGCCTGGAGTCATTTCTTCCATCTCCTTGGAGGATTCTCTAACACAGTGAGACTTTAATAGAAATGGAGTTTGACATCTCAGCTCCAGTGGGTTCAGGCTACACCCAGTGGTCTGGGAGCCCTCCTCCTTGGTGACTGCTTAGGAAGGTTGGAAGAATGGACTTCTCACCTCACTCACCTTCCCTGGGGTGAGGAGGAAGGCAGCAGGCTCCTGACCCAGGTTCTTGGGTACTTCTTTTGTGGATATCTTGAACGTGTGTTGAGTTGGGGAGGAGGGCTCATTGTGGGAGAGGCTGCTCTGGGAGCAGATGATTGATGACATTTGACATCTTTAGATATGATGACTATGATTATGGGGAGGTGAACCAGCTCTTGGAGAGGAGCCTCAAGGTCTATATCAAAACCGTCGCCTGTTATCCAGAGAAGACAACCAAGAGGATGTACAATCATTTTTGGAGGCATTTCCGGCATTCTGAGAAGGTAAGGAGCGTTCCTGCTGGAGGTGGTACTCATCGGGAGCAGGGCACTTGAGGGAAAGCAGGGAGCCTTGGAGTTAGCTTTTCTGGCATAGGCAAGGATGGGTGGTAGTTTGTGGAATGAAATATCAGGAGGGGGGCAGCTAGGTGGCGCAGTGGATAGAGCACCAGCCGTGGAGTCAGGAGGACCTGAGTTCAAATCCTGCCTCAGACACATAACACTTACTAGCTGTGTGACCCTGGGCAAGTCACTTAACCCCCATTGCCCAACCAAAAAGACCAAAAAAAAAAAAGATTGGGAGGCCCTGAGGCTAGTGTCCCAGCTCCACTACTGACTTAGTATGCGACCAGCCTTTCTGTGCCTCTGTTCCCTCGTCTTTTAAATGAAAGACTGGACCAGATGATCTCTTAAGTTTTTTTCGGAGTTCTGACATTCTCTGTTCTAAGCTCCTTTGCACCACTAAAAATATAGTCTAAGGTCCCTGCTAGCCCTAGCCTTCTGTTTTCTAAGGAAGGCCCTCCCAACTCTGACCTTTTTTTTTTTTTAAATAATGTTTTATTTTTTTCCCAATTATGTGTAAAGATAATTTTTTTAACATTTTTTTAATTTTGAGTTCCAAATACTCTCTCCTTTCCCCCCTGCCCACTCCCTAAGACAAGAAGCAGTTTGATATAAGTTATACATGTGCAATCATGCAAAACGTTTCCATATTAGTCATGTTGTGAAAGAAGATATAGACAAAAAAGGTAAAAAATAGTCCGCTGACTCCATCAGTTCTTATTCTGGAGGTGGATAGCATTTTTCTTTCTTTCATTTTTGTTTCATAATTTCTTTTTAATTTTCAACATTCATTTCCATAAGATTTTTGAGTTATAAATTTTCTCCCCCTCCCATGTATATTCCCCCTGCCCAAGACAGGTACAATCTGGTATAGGCTCTACATAGACATTCATGTTAAGCATATTTTCCCATCAGTCATGATGTAAAAAACAATTCGAACTAATGGGGAGAACCACGAGAATGAAGTTATAAAGCAAAACAAGAAAGGAAAAGGAGAGCAGATAGTATGTTTCCATCTGCATTCAAACTCCATCATTCTTTCTGTGGGTGTGGATCAGCTCTGGCTTTCTTTCAGAGAGTCTGTCCAGTCTGAATATCTTACAGGTCTGGAAGTGGGAAAGGGGGAGGCATCCCAGAAACAAAAGAAGGGAATGAGGCTGAGATGCCTCTGCTTAACAGGGGTTGAGCTTTTGAGACGTGGAGTTTCTAGGACATCCTTGGTCATGTTCATTGACTTCGGGGATGAGATAGGGTGGGGGGAGGTAAGACCAGTGATGAGTGAGTCCTTGAAAAATGGGAAGGTGAAAATGTGTCAACTTTACCAACAGGGTCCTCTCTGTACCCCTCCTTCCCTCCTCCAGGTCCATGTGAATCTGCTACTGCTAGAGGCTCGGATGCAAGCAGCCCTCCTCTACGCCCTCCGTGCCATCACTCGCTACATGACCTGATGGTGGGCATCATGACCCTCCCAGCTCCGGACTGGACACTACTTTTGCTGGGAGGGCCGGCTTCCTTTCTAACCTACTGACTATTGGTCTCTGCCCATATCACATTCCCTCTCTGTCCCACTGGCTGCAATCTGGTCTTGTCTGTGAAACCTTGGAAATCAAGTGCCTCTGGGCCCCCCACTCTTCTCCATCCCTTTCCTCCACCCCAGTGGAACCAAAAGGACCTCTCTGTCTGCTCTGGGCTCCCAGCCCTGCTGCTGGGAGCTGAAGTGGGAGACAGGGACCATCTAGGCCATGCTCTCATCCTTTCTTCCCTCCCTCCGCCTTGGAAACACATGACCTCCTCCATCACCAAGGTCAAGGAGAAGAAGTCACTACAAGGAGGACTGTTCTAAGCTCCAGCTTCCTAAGAGAGACCACCCCCCACTTTCACCCTGCCTCTCTTACCTGCCACAGGAAGGTGTGTACTGGATTCAGTGGACTAGGGCTCCTGGATGGAGAGGAAACATCACAACCTGGGGTAGCACCAACACTAAATTGGGCTGACACTCCATGGCGCTGGGGGAGCGGGGGCATGCCAGGGCCCCTGCCCCCAAAGCCTATTCTTCTAGCCCTGTTACCCTAAGGAGCCTGGGAAGTCAGAGGGATTATATGTGGATCCCTGGATCTGTTTTCGTGATTGCCCTTCACCCTGCCTTGTTTCCCTTCCCCCACTGCTGGCAGTGGGGATCCCCAGAAGAGATCAAGGCAGGAGGGGGATAGGAAGAAGATTGATGGGGAAATTTGCTTATTTGAGAGGAGGAAGGGAGTAGATGCTCTTTCCTTTCTTTCCTTGAGACCTGAATGGGAAGGGATGTGAAGAAAGTCTCCTTCAGGATTGGCTTCATCCATCCCTACTTGACCCGTGCCTCAGGAAACTGGACTTTGAATAGGATATGTTCTGCCCAGAGCAGCCAGGCTCTGCCAAAATTAGCACCTTGACCTCCTGCCTCCCTCTTCCCTCCCCTGCCCCCCCCCTTCCTTCCCTTGTTGTGTTTACTGAAAGGATGGTTTTGGGGAACAGAGTTGACAGCACAGTAAAAGTGTTGGGTTGGGGAAATCTGAGTTCCCTGGCCCCACTTTGCCACTGGTTAGCTGTGTAACTTTAGGCTTAGGCCACGACCCTCCCTGAGTATTAGTTTCCTCACCTACTAAATGGGAACCCTTTTGGTTCCAGAATTTATAATCGATCTATACTGCTTCCAAATAGAAGCAAGCCCAGAGGTCCTTAAGACCCTAAATTCTCCCTTCCTTAGCCAAGAAGGAGGGGAACCTGTATGGATCCCCTGAGACCCATGTCCCCACCCTGCTCCACACCCCTGTGCCCCGGGGTCCAGGCACCCTCAGAAGGGCCAGAGCCATTCTACATTGCACTTTCTCTGATATGAAAACTGTGAATTGCCTGCCATCTTTCCCCATCCTTGTGCTCTGCCTCTTACTGCTGGATGCTTGGGAGGTGTCAGAAGTTGCTATCGTTCATAAATAAAGCTGCTGTTCCTGCTCCACTCCCTCTGCATCCCTCCCCCCATCCCATCGGCAGGACCCCTCATCCATGCTGAGGGTCTTGCTAGGGGGAAGGAAATGAGCGGGGGACGGTGGGGAGCTGTGGGCCGGATGTGCCACTCTCACCGTGCAGGTCATGGTGAAATAAATGGCTGGTATGTGGAGGCTGGGCAGGGCTGTAGACCGCCTGGCTCCAAACCAGGACCCCAAAGATGTGTACTGTCCCTATGAATTTCACAAAGGGAAAAAGCTGGGGAGGAAAACAGTGTTTCAATGCAGAAATGTTTGTTACTTTGCTACATACTCCATATTGACAAATAAAACATTCACTGGGGTTGTTTTTCTTTTCATTTGGTTTGGTTTTTAATTAAATCATCTTGTTTTCTGTCTTTGGGGGGGGGCGGTGTTTCCTTCCACTAAGCTCTGAGATTATTCTCTGTGGAATCTGGGCTGGGTACCATGTGGCATGAACCCACTGCAAGACTCCCATCTCTGCTCCGTTCCTGAGAGATGAGACATGGGCAGTAAATATCCAGGCCCCTTGCCAAATTCCTCTTGGTGGTGGGCCTGGCATCATTGAAAGGATGAGGCAAACTTCTACTTCAGGGCACAATTAAGGGGAGTCGTGGAGAGATTGGCTGGGCCAGGGGGCAGGCAGTGAGCCATGTGCCTTCCCTGTCTGCTTCTCCTCCATTCTCAGAGAATCAGCATCCTCTCTTGAGCCATCCCAGTCCCTTCCACCTTGGGTCCCATGTTTCTCTCCTTCTGGAACATCTTGATGCCAGGAATGATGCCACCTGAAGCTGTCAGAGCTTCCTTGTTCCTCACGCACCCGCCCCCCCCCCATGGGGCCTCTGGGAGACAGAACAACAGGTTTATGAAACAGGAGAGATCTAGTGTGGGATATGACCTCCAACATTCACTCAGTCCCTTTCCTGAACCTCTATGTAACTGTAATAGCTTCCTCCCTGTATGGTGGTTGTGAGGATTGTAGGAAATGTTCAAAAAACGCTATAGCCACCTAAAAAACATTTAAACAACAATAATCCCAGTACCTAGAACTGTACCTGGCATATAATAGGTGCTTAACAAATGCTTGTCCATTGGTGGGTGGCCAGGTGTCACCATAGATACAGCACTGGGCTTAGAACTAGGAAGACTCATCTTCCTGAGTTCAAATCTGGTCTCAGACACTTATTAGCTATGTGACCCTGGACAAGTCACTTAACCCTGTTTGCTTCCGTTTCCTCATCTGTAAGATGAGCTGGAGAAGGAAATGGCAAACCACTCTATTATTTCTGCCAAGAAAACCTCAAATGGGGTCATGAAGAGTCAGACACAACTGAGAAGATGTACAGTGGATGAGACTAGGCTGATGCTCAGGAGGTGGGGTAGGTAACACCTCCCAGTGGTGCAGTTGACAAGAAGTCCATCCTTAAATCTATGTGACTCATCCTTCCCCACACCCTCCACAGGTGGCCTTTTTGGATGTTTTTTGACATTACTTGGGTTGTCCTATAACAATCAGACTGTCCATCTGCCATTCCTCATTCTCACATGCCCACTTTTGATCACCCATTTCCCTGAAAAATATATTTTTCATCATTTCTTGCTTTCAAATCAACATTGGCAATGTTTTTATAACCACTAATGGAGATGTACCTCTTTTGCAGAAGTTGGAGGGAAATGAGTGTGGAACATTACACATATTTTCAGACTTTTTCAAAGTATTGGTAAATTTTGCTGATTAGTTCTCTCTTCTACTTTTTCCTTTCTCTTAAAATATTCTTTATTAGGCTAGCTCTACTGGAGTGGGGAGTGGGAAAACACTGGAAAACATTTTGGCAACAAAAAGATATTAATGAAAATTTATTTTTAAAATTGTACTTGAATTGTCATAAATCAGTGTTATGTCTGGGTAATTATGAACAATAATTCAGTGTATGATAATGCTTCAGTTCTGGTCCAGTTGATTGGTTTGAGTTCACCAGAATTTTTTGAGGTCTGCTTCTCTCAGTCCACGAGAGGTAGTGAGCTTCCCATGTATAATTCTAGCCACCGGGTCATCATGTGTTAGGTACATATTAGGTGCTAAATGTTTGCACCCTAAAGGGCTTTGCACATGTTAACTCATTTGTTCCTCAATATTATGTCTGGGCAATTGTGTGTGATTGCTTTCCAGGTCCAGTATAGTTGATTGGTTGATTCACCAGGATCTTTTGAGGTCTGTATTCATATTGTGGATGAGACTTCACTTACTATGAAATAGATGCTGATTCTTTTTTTAGCACCCATTTTACAAATGAGGAAACAGGTTAAGGCATGTCCAGAGTCACACAACTATTAAGAGGCTGGTCATCCTGACTTCTAAGACCTGCCTTAGAAAAGAAAATAGTGTTGGAGGAGCTGTGGAAAGGCAGGCACACTCAGGCACTATGGGCAGAGCTGTAAATTGGCCCAGCCATTCTGGGAACACAATTTAGAGTTATCAAGATAAGTAACTAAATCTTTCTCACCCTTTGATCCAGCAATCCCATTACAGGAGCATAACCTGAAGAAGGTCAAAAACAAAGAAACATTCAACGGGTTGCAAAATAGTCATAGAAGCACTTTTTGTGGTAGCAAAGAAAGAATAGACTGGATGTCCATTGTTTGGATAATGGCTAAACAAACTGTAGAATATAAATGTAATAGAATATTATTGCATAGTAGGAAATGAAGAACATGAAAGATTCAGAGAAATCTCAGAAGATGTATGTTAACTGATGCAGAACGAAATAAGCAGAACTAGAATTTACATCAGTTGACCAGCATTTTGTGTTAAATACTTAGGGCTAACAGTACAAAGGAAAACAAATAGAGCTCTACCCTCCAGGAATTTAAATTCCATCAGATGAAGTTTCCCATAAATATATATTATACTTAGATCACAAGGTTAAATGAGATAAGTGAAGGTTGACCTTGGAGAGTCTGGCAGACCATTTCAAGTTCTGCGTGGGAGGAAAGAAGGTACTGGTTGTACTGACTATGTAACCCTGGAAAAGTCACCTTTACCCCCTTTTCCTGCCCTGGGCAACTCTCTCAGAGAAAGCTGAACTACATTGGTACAGGGAGTCCCCTTATCTGGGAACTACCAATAACACTAAAATCACTGGTCTAGTCCCTAGCCCTAAATGAGAGCTTGGAGATCAACAGTGGGTGTGGCTGTTTTGCTAACAGGTAAAATAGAAAAATGTTATTTCTCCTCCAGGTGAAAACTGTAAAAAAAAATCACCACAGTGCACTTTGGATTACATGGACAACTTTTGTAAAGTCTACAGACTCCTATTTAATCTAATTACAGATTTTGAGTAAGAGGAATTGAATTCAATTGGACAAACATTTATTTAGTCTGATCATGTCACTCTCCTGCTCCACTAACTCCAATGGCCCCCTATTACCTCTAATTAAATTATATTATATTATTACCTATACATTTTATTATATTTTATTAATATATAACATTTTATATTATATTACCTGTAACATAAATTTTTCTATTTGGCATTTAAATCTCTTCATTTCCTATCTTTCTAATCTTTGTATACATTACTGTCTTCTATACACTCTATGATGTAACTAATGGAATATGGCCCAAGCTGAGACCTTTGCCCCTTACCCCAAAAAGAATTTGGGTCCCATTTGTCTAAGAGATTCATTCTCCTTGAATTCTCCCACTAGATCAAGGAGGTCTCTGGCACTCCCCTGAGGCTACAGTCCCAGCAACTGGCCTTTTGTTATCTCCTATGGCCCATTCTCCACCTCCCAGTCACTCCCATCAAGATGCTTCCTAGATCCCTCCCACATCCTACTGTGTATGAGATCCCTCTTGTCTCCATTAAGTTGCTCAGATTCTTACAATCTAACCAATAGCTCGCTAATGTTCAGACTCCTTAAGAGTCTGCCCAATATGATGGATGTTCTAATGAACCTTGTCTTTGGCTGAGAGAAGGCTTGGGTCAAATTCTTTCAGGTAGGACCCGAGTGTCGTGATCTTGGGGTCCCAGTACCCCTAAACCTCTAGACCTCATCATAACCATACTGACCTAATTGCTGTCCTTACATAGAATGCTCCCTTTTCTTTCTCCACACCTTTGCCTTTGTAATAACTGTCTTCTCTGCCTGTGATGTGTACAAAACACTGTCCAGCTGCTGGAAATGCAAAATGTAGTTGAGACAGTGATTCTGGCACTCTAAGGTTTTCTGTCAACTCAAGTGTTGACTCTTCAAAGCTCAATCAGTCGATAAGCATTTATTGAGTGCCTGCTATGGACCAGGCACTGTGCTAAGTGCTGGAGATGGGGGGGGGGGGAAGGCACCTCCCCACTCAAAAAAAAAAAAGTTCACAGTCATCTATACACATCAGTCCCATTCCTGGGTTCCATCTCCACCACCCAAGTCACCAGGGCCTCTTCCCTCCTTGAAATTATTATATTTACTTTGTATATAGTTGCACACGTGGGTGTTGTTTTCCTTGATTGAATGTAAACCTCTTGAGAACAAGGATTGTTTCACTTTGTCTGTTTCTCCAGTGTCTGGCTTAGGGCCTGGCTCATAGCCAGGCCACTTTTGCACCATAGGTATTTGTTGACTAACCAATTGATTAAGCTAATTCGGCCTCTCCATTCTCCAGCTGAGGATGACACAGGGAAAGGGATTTTAACCAAGTGGAAGTTTCTTAAGAAACTAAAGCATATAGGGTAATATGGCATACTCCTTAAGTACAAAGTTTTTTCACTCAATCAGCAATTACTTCCCATTTATACTGTAGGTATCTTGTATGTAGACAAGTTGTTTGCATACCATCTGCCCTACTGGACTATGAGCTCCAGAGCAGGGACTATATTTCTTTGAATCTCAAAACATTAGCTAATTTGACTAGGGGAAAAAAAGTAGAAAACTAAATTACCAGTATGAAAAATGAAAAAGATTAATTCACCAAAACTTAAGATGAAATTAGGGAATTTATTAGAAACTATTTTGCCCAATTTTATATGCCATCAAAACTGACAATGTAAATGAAAAGGGTGGATATTTACAAAAATAAAAAATGCCTAGAATAACAGAACCAAAAGAAGAAGATGCTTAAATAACCCGATCTCAGAAAAATAAATTGAACAAGCAATAAATGAGCTACAGATGAAAATCTCAGGACTAGATAAATTTATAAGAGAATTCTATCAAACATTTAAAAAACAATAATTCCAGTATTACAAAAGCTACTTGAAAAAATAGGAAAAGAAGGTATCTTACCAAATTCTTTCTTTTCTTTTTTTGCTCGGTAATAGGGTTAAGTGACTTGCCCAGGGTCACACAGCTAGTAAGTATCAAATGTCTGAGGTCAGATTTGAACTCAGGTCTTCCTGATTCCAGGGCTGGTGTTCTATCTACTGTACCACCTAGCTGCTCCTCAGATTTTTTCAATGATACAAAATGTGATATTGATACTGAAATCAGGGAAAATTAAAACAGAGAAAGAAAACCACAGACCAATATCCCTAATGAATATTGATGCAAACATTTCAAATAAAATATTAGCAAGGAGATTATCACAACATATCAGAAAGATTATACACTATCAAGCTAGATTTATAACAAGAATGAAGAACTGGTCCAATATTAGGAAAGCCATCAACATAACTGACCATAAGAAGAAGAATAAAAAAATCATGTGATTATATCAATATATGAAGGAAGAGCTTTTGAAGATACAATACCCACTCCTATTAAATATATTAGAAAGCATAAGAATAAAATGAATCTTTTCTTAATATAATAAATAATATGTATCTAAAACCAAGAGCCTACATTATATATAATAGGGCTAAATTAGAGGGCTTTCCAATAAGATCATGGGTAAAGCAAGGATGCCCATTTTCACCATTACCATTTGATATAGAGTTAGAAATGCTACATATATAACTAAAACACAAAACAGAAATTGAGAAAATAAGCATAAGCAAAGAGGAAAGAAATTTATTGCTTTTTGCAAATGCTATGATGATTTAGAGAACCCTAGAGAGTCAACTAAAATTAATTGAAACAATAACAGCAAAGTTGCAAGATATAAAATAAATCCACATAAATCATCAGCATTTCTATTATCACTGAAACCCAGCAGGAAGAAACAGATAAATGTTGTTTAAAATAACTACAGAATATGCAAAATACTTATGAGTCCATCTGCCAAGACATACGCGAGAACTGTGTTATGAATGTAACTAGAAGATACTTTTTCTACAAATAGAGATCTATATAACTGAAGAATATTTATGGCTCATCAGTGGGCTGAGCCAATATTTTAAAAAGTGACAATACTACCTAAATTAATTTACTTTCTCAATTCCATACCTTTGGTTGTCCTTCATTCTCTAAGAGGATCAGTGGATTGTATTCAGTTTCATACCAATAAAAATACCAAAGGATTATTTTATAGAGCTGGGGAAAAAATAACACAATTCATTTGGAGGACAAAAAGATCAAGAACATCAAGGGAAATAATTTTTTAAGTGAGAAAGAAAAGGGCAAGCAGCACCATATTTTAAATTATACTACAGAGCAGTAATTAGCAAAGCAATTTGGCATATGTATAACAAGTATGGTATTTCTTACCTTCTTAGTGGGTGGGGGAGGGGGTAAAGGGAGGGAGAAAATTTGCAAGGGAAAATAATAACATTTTTAAAAGTTGGTATTGGGTAAGAAATAGAAAGGTTGATCAGTGGAACAGAATAATACAATATACAGAAGCAAAGCAGCTAGGTGGCTTGTTGGATAGAGTACTGGACCTGGAATCAGGAAGACTCATTTTCCTGAGTTCAAATATGGCCTCAGATACTCACTAGCTGTGTGACCCTGGGCAAGTCACTTAAGGCTGTTTGCTTCAGTTTCCTCTTATGTAAAATGAGCTGGAGCCTTCAGGAAAAAGCAAACCACTCCAGTATCTCTGCCAAGAAAACCCCAAATGAGTCCATGAAGAGTCTGACATGACTGAAAATGACTGAACAACAACAAAATACAGAAACAAATGAGCACAGTAGCCTTGAGTTTGATAAATCCAAACATCCCAGCTATTGGGTTAAAAACTCACTATCTGACAGCAACTTCTGGGAAAACTAGAAAGCAGTTGAGCAGAAAAAAGATACAAACCAAAATCTCACAATGTACATAAAGATAAGCTCCGAATGGGTACATGACTTACACATAAACAAATTAGAGGAACAAGGAAGAAATTACTTGTTTAGATCTATGGATAAGGAGAGAGTTCATGACTAAACAAGAGATAGAATTATAGAAGGTAAAATGGATCATTTCGATTACATAAAATTGAAAAGTTTTTGCACAGATAAAACCAATAGGGCTAAATTTAGAAGAGAAGCAGGTATAAAGAAAAAAACCTTCACACATTTCTCTGATGAAACACTTGTTTCTAAGCCATATAGAGAACTAATTCAAATTTATAAGAATAAGCACTATTGCTGAAGTTGAAAAAATAATGGTCAAGGGACATGAACAGGCAGTTTTCAGAGGATGAAATCCAGGTTATCAATAGCCATATGACGAAATGGTCTAGATCACTAATAATTAGAGAAAGAAAAATTAAAGCAACTCTGAAGCTCTACCATCTACCAGCAGTTTGGCAAAGCTGACAAAAATGAACATGATAAATGCTGAAGGGGCTGTGGGAAAACAGGTACATTAATGAACCGTTGATGGAGCTATGAACTGGTGCAGCCATCCTGGAAAGCAACTTGGAACTAAGTCCAAAAAGCTATTAAATTATGCATACCCTTTGACCCAGTGATATCACTATTAGGTCTGTACGCCAAAGAGATTATCAAAGAAACAGGAAAAGGAGTTATTTGTATTTAAAAAAAAAGTTGTTCTTTTTATAGTGGCTAAGAACTGGAAACTAAAAAGAGACTCACCAAATGGGGAATGGTTACACAAATTTTACTGTATAAACGTGATGGAATACTATAAGGGAAATGGCTTCAGAAAAACCTGGGGAAACTTATATAAACTGATTCAGAGTGCGATGATCAGAACCAGGAGAACAATTTATATAGTCCACATGAAGCTATAATTTCACATTTTGGGCCATAAGTTACATACAGTATTTATACAGTAAGAACAGTTTATATGATAACACATGTGTCTGTGTTATTGTAAAGACAAAAAGCTTAGAAAGACTTTAAAACTCTAATCAGTTATCATGGTTAACCACAACTCCAGAGGGATTCATGATGATAGCTGTTTCTGTCAGTTTCTATGCTAATGTAATAATAAGTCAGCAAAGAGAGACAGAGATGACATCAAGAGGATTTGACGTCAGATTGGATATGGGAGATGAGAGATTCTAAGATCCTGTGGGAGCCCCACTATAAGGAGGCATCAGAGAATTTTGAAATAGAAATAGAATGAACGTTTAGAAGGGGATGAGGAGCCTAAAGACAATGAGCTTCGGTTGGAGATGGAGGGGCAAGGCAACTAGACAGTCACCAGTGTCTGGCACGCAGTAGACAAGGGAAAGGAGGGAATGAGCATTTCTGTGTTGTCGTTGTTGTTGTTATTCATTTGTCTCAGTCATGTCCGACCCTCCGTGACCCCGTTTGGGGTTTTCTTAACAAAGATACTGGAGTGGTTTGCCATTTCCTTCTCCAGCTCATTTTACAGATGAGGACACAGAGGCAAAAATGGTTAAGTGACTTGACCAGGGTCACACAGCTAGTAAGTGTCTGAGGTCAGATTTGAACTCAGGATGATGAGTTTGCCTGACACTCTATCCACCATGCCACCCTGCTGCCCTAAATATTTCCATAGGACCTGCTATATGCCAGGCACTATGCTAAGCACTTTACAACTATTATCTCATTTGAGCCTCACAACAACTGTGTGATGTATGTGCTATTATTATACCCATTTTACAGTTGAGGAAATTAAGGTAAACAAAGGTTAAGTGGCTTGCTCAGGGGCACACAACTAGTAAGTTTCTGAGATCATGTCTGAACTCAGATCTTCCTGATTCCAGACCCAGGGATCTATCCACTGTGCCCCTAGCAGCCTCTGGGTAATTAATAATTGAATACTAATAAATGAATAAATAGTAGGTACTTAATAAATGTTTATTGATTGATTGACGATCAGACCTAGAGTGCAGTTATCCTAAGAGAGCAGAGTGTTCTGACTCTAGCCAAAGCAGGATTGAGAGGTTAAACAAACAGCCTTACTAGTAAGGGTGGGTTGGGGTCTCAGGAAGCTTTGAAGGCCCTAGGGAGTCCTTCAGGAGGTCAGCAGGCATTTAAGTACTTACTATGCACTAAGGGACACAAGGCCTGCCCTCAAAGAGCTCAAACTCTAAGGGGTGGGGGGGTCAGGGCAAACAGGGACATATAACTGACTGGGTATGGACAAGATAGATGCAGAGTAAATGGATCTCAGAGCCAGGGCACTATGGGCAGGAAAGTGGGGGAAAGGGAGGAAGAGACCAGCAAAGGCCTCTTGTAGAAGGCAGAGTTTGAGCTGAATTTTGCAGAAAATTAGAGAAAATTAGAAAATAAGAGATGGAGATGGGGGCAGGCCAGGCTAGGGAGTGGCTTGCAAAGGCTGGTGAAGGGTAATGTTTGAGGAACAGAGAACTAACGAAAGCTGTGATGACTCCTTCCGATAAGGAAAGTGTCTAGTCTCTGCCAACCCCTCTGCCCCCCAACTCCCCCTTGGATTTTTTTTTTTAGGCAATTGGGGTTAAGTGACTTGCCCAGGGTCACACAGCTGGTAAGTGTCAAGTGTTTGGTCTGAGGCCAGATTTGAACTCAGGTCCTCCTGACTTCAGGGCCAGTGCTCTATCCACTGCGCCCCCTTGTCCTTCTACTGCTGTGTGAGCCCATTATGTTTGCATTCTGTCTGTGGTTTGAAACAAAGACTATCCTCTGCCCAAATTTGGGGCAGCTAGGTGGCCCAGTGGATAGAGGACTGGGCCTTAGGCACTTACTAGCTTCATGACCCTGGACAAGTCACTTAATTCTGCCTTAATTTCCTCATCTGTAAAATGAGCTGGAGAAGGAAATGGCAAGCCAAGTACAATGGTGAAGGATGGGCACTAGAGAGAAAAGGAAGTTGGATCCCCAAGGTTAGGTGTCTCTACTGGCCAAGCCTGAGTTTTGTAGATGAGATAAGACAAGATAAGATGAGACTGGTTCATTTACATATCTTCTTCACCTGAATATGCGCATACTGTTGTTCAAAAGAAATCAATCTATGCATGCCATCTTGGGGTGGGGGGAGGGGGGAGATGGGGTGAAAATTTGGAATTCAAAAACTTGTGGGAGTGAGTGTTGAAAACTAAAAAGGAATAAATTTATATTAAAAAAAAAAGAAATCAATCTAATCTAGATACCTTTTTGTGATCCCCCCACCCCTCACCTCCCCACATACACTAAATCTCAGGTCTCCTTTCTGAAATTTTCCCAGATTTCAGTGTAATGGAAAGAATTATGGATTTGCTCAGGTTCTTCACCTTTGTGACCTTGGGCAAGCCCCTTTCCCTCCTTATGCCTAAATTTCCTCAACTATAAAAGGGCAGTGTTAATTTCCATTAATTTGTCAGTTAATTGTTCAGCATCTGTTATGCATGCAGGCTGGGGGTGCCTTAGCACATAGAGCATCTGGCCTAGAGTCAGGAAGACTCTTCTTTCTGAGTTCAAATCTGGCCTCTGACACATTCTAGCTGTGTGACCCCAGGCAAGTCACTTAACCCTATTTGCCTCAGTTTCCTCATCTGTCAAATTATCTGGAGAACAAAATGGCAAACTGCTCTAGTATCTTTGCCATGAAAACCCCAGACAGGGTCACATGACTGTTGTTGGACCAATAACAAAAATGCATGCGTAAAAAATCTGGGGATACAAAGAACACCCTCCCCCCACCTCACCCCAGCAAAAAAAAGAGTCCCTGCCCTCAAGGACTTTACATTCTACTGGAGGAACTTACCACTCCCCTTTCCCAGAAAGAAATCTTTTTATCCACTTAGCATCTCATCTTAGCTCCTAGTATCATATATACCTTATACTTCCAGACACAGTGTCATTTTTTTTTATTCTGATGCCTTCCCTCAATTGATTATCTCCAGTTTATCCTGCATATAAATTGTTCACTGCATAGTTGTTTGCTTGTTATCTCCCCCATTGGACAGGGAGCTCCTGGAGGACCTGGATTGACTTTTGCCTCTTTTTTGTATCTCCAGTGCTTAGCACAGTACCTGGTATATAGTGGGTGCTTAATATACGGTTACTGGCTGACTTGCTATGGCTGTGAATGATCAGACCTTTGTGACCTTGGACAATTCACTTCAAGTCCTTGGGCCTCAGTTTTCTGATCTGCAAAATGAGAAAGGTTGGATTTAATGAGGTCTCTTTTGGTTCTAGTTACGTAACCCTAGGATTTCTGTACCAGCCTCTTCTCTGTCCCCCTCCAAGTGTTTGCTGCACTGAAGCTGAACTAAATAATATTTCTCCAAGCTGCACATTCTTTTAACTTTGGGTGAATCCCTAGGATTGCAGAGGAGGGAGAGAGAAATATAGAACTGGATGGGGACTTCCTCCCACCCCCAAGGATACACATGCATACCTTTTTGGTCCCTGGTTTATGTCTGACGGTAGTGATGAAGGAGAGGGTTTCCCTCTAGACAAGTCAAGGACAGTACTGGGACAAGGTGGCCTGGACCACTGAAAATGAGGTCACTAAATGGTCCTTATTTAGTGAGTCTGCCAGGCCCCTAACCTCAGAATGATAAAACTCCCCCTTTTCAGCCAATCACTCCCTGGGGCTGAAGGTCAAAGCTCAGCTCACTCCCTGGGGTTGAAGGTCAAAGCTCCTCAAAGCTGGAGGAGTTGGGAATAATAGCCTGGCCTGCCAAGAGACCAGTGACCTTGGGAGGGCTCAGGCTACCAGCTGCCAGACAGCCAAAAGATGGTTCTTCAAAGGAGGAAGCAGCTTTGCCTTAGTGTTCTGTTTTTGGGGAGAAGGCCCCCATCAGTAGGACCTAGACCAGAGGTGGGGGACCAGGCCACATGTGGCCCTCTAGGTCCTCAAGTGCAGCCCTTTGACTGAATCCAAACTGCAAGAGGCACCTGAGAAACTGGAGGCTGCAGGTTCCCTACTCCTGGTCTAGACCAGTGGAGAAGCTGCCTTTCTCCTGATTAAGATAATCCTGTTTTGAATTTACATCCTGATGGGGAGGTGTCCAGGCCTAGAATCTTGGACTTGGAGTCGAAAAATCGAGATTGAATGCTCTTTTTTTCTGGCTGGCTAGCTGCATAACCTTAAGTAAGTTACCTTTCCTGACCCTTAGTTTTCTTATCTATAAAAAGAGTTCTATTGGATAGAGGGCAGCTAGGTGGATAGAGCACAGGGCCTGGAGTCGAGAAGACTTGAGTTCAAACCCAGCCTCAGACTAGCTGTGTGACCCTGGGCAGGTCACTTCACCCTGTTTGCCTCAGTTTCCTCATCTATAAAATGAGCTGGAGAAGGAAATGGCAAACCACTCTCATTCCCTTCCCAAGAAAACCCCAAATGAGTTGGACCCAGCTGAAACAACTGATCAGCAACATTGGATAGGGGTCAGGAAGATGTGGGCTCTGACACATATCGGCTGGGTAACTAGGTAAAGAAAGCCCTTTGCTGCTCAGTGCCCTCGGACCCTCTCAAAGACTGTACTTTACAGAGGAGATAGCGTTCCCCAGAGGAAGGCAGAGTTTCCACACCAAAGAGAGAGCTCCCTACCCAGGAACGTTGACCTATGCTCTAACTGCTTCATTTTACAGAACTGAGGCCCAGGGAACAAAGCCACGATGTGAACTCAGGGTCCTCTGACTCTGAATGTAATGCTCTTTGTATCATACCACAATGATAAAATCCTAAAAATAGCCCTGCCCCTAAAGGGGAGTGAGAGGCAGATGACAAAATGTGCTTTTTGCCTTTTTCTTTTGCTCACAGCCTTATTTTATGGCTATATGTATTACTAGCCAGGTGACCTTAGACAAGTCCTGCAAGAACCTTAAGTTTTAGTTTCCTCATCTATAAAATGGGTACAGGCATATTTTCACTACATAACTCCCAAAGCTGTTGTGAGGACCCAGTGAAAATAAAGCACGAAAAACTTCTACAGGGAAATGTGAACTATTGTTATTGTAACGAGCACCTAAGCCATCATTTCCAAATAGATTAATAATGCATAAAATGAATGGAAAGCAGTCTTTCAGCATTTGCTCTTTGCCAAGTGCTAAGCCATGGGGATACAAAATACCTAAACAAAGACCATCCTGGCTCACAAGAAGCTTCCATTCTAATAGAGGGAAACAGCCCAGAGAACGGAAGAGTATTTGAGTTTGGAATGTTACCGAGATTATGAATGGAGCCACAGTAAGTAGATGGACATGCACTTTCCAGTTAGCCCTCTGAATCTGATTATGGTTCCAGACCTGGACAGGGAAGAGAGTACATGGAATCTACTCATGGCAGCAAGCTGACTAGTGGGAAGATGGTTAGATAGCATTGAGAAGAACTCCTTTCCATGTAATAAAGGAGCTGTTTTTGTAACCTTCACTCCTACTGGTCAAGCCTGATCAAAATTCTCGGAAGGGAATCAATGCTGGGCCCTATTCTTGCACCTGGCCTGGGTAGAGCCAGATATACTCCTCCCAGAATACCCCACCTCTGACTTGCCCCTAATATACATGTGATACAAAAGTCTGGGCATCATCCATATTTCAAATTTTCCAAAGACCCTTGGCCACCCTTAATATTTGTGGCCCTTTTTCTCACTGACACAGATCAATGGAGTTAAATCTAAACCTGGAGCTTTCAGGAGCTGCTATGGCCAAAGGGATACATTCCCTGGGGGAGGGAGTGGGGGAAGCTTTCTGGTGAGGTAACTCATCTCCTTTGAACAATACAGCTATCTCTTCCACATCTTGACTTTCTTCCCCATCAAAGATTTGGGTCCACATAAGAAATTAAGTGAGAATTTTGGGGGAGTTTTGTGAAAGCTGCAGACAATATATGAAGGCCAGCTGACTACACAGAAAAAGTTTAGAAACTCAGAAATGTATAAAATATATGTATACTATTGTGTAATATCAATGCCCCATAAAAGAAAAAGAAAAAATTCAGACTTCTTCTCTGGTATAAAGAGAGGGCCAAAAAAATTTACCTGGATTTTCTAGATCTTGGGGGCTCGGCATCCCTAATCCCTAAAGGAAGGAATAATTGAATTCCACTGGAAGCTTTCCAGCTCGGGAGTGACCTGTCAGGGCTCATGATTCAGACGAAAGAGCAATGAACTTGGAGCCTCGAACTTAGGAGTCACTGGACTTGAGTTTGAATTTTGGCCCTAACTTAGCAATGCTGTATCCTTGCCAGATATCCTTCCTACATAATTGTTCAGTAATCTCCTTTTGTTAGGTGCTCAATAAGTATCTCCAGTCCCAAATCTAAATCCACCAGAGTGATCTGAGTCAGGCCTGACCCAAAACAGGCCAGAGTGTCTAGAGTGTTTCTGGGTTTCAGGCTGTATGGTTGATGCATCACCTTCCCTGTCTACTCTCCTCAATCCCTATCTGAAAAACTGAGCGCCTTGGGGCTTTCAATGAGCCTTCTGGTTGCTTGAGGCTAAGCATGGGACCAAGAGGAAAGTTTGTATCACCATCCACAGCTAAGTCTTCATGCCCAGAAATGAAGGAAGAAGAGTGGGTTTAGGCCTGGACATCTCCCACCACAGTTGGTATGAGAGTGGGGAGGGCTCTGACTTCCTCAATCCCACACAATTACCATTCCTGGGCCAAAGTCTCAGCTGTGCAAGGTCTGGCCCAGAAGAAAAAGAAACCTTTGTACTATCCAAGCTCCAGGTTTTTACACCTGATGGACTTTCCCCAGCTCAACTTCAGCTTGAGAAAGTCAGGCTGTGATGGGCTTATGTCTGGTCTCCTGAGAAAGTTACGTGATCCAATGAGGAGAGTCATGGTGAACTAGGAAGGGAACATAGTCTTCTGGATAAAGTGTACTGGGCAAATCCAACAAACATCTCCTCTCCTCCCTCACTGGGGTTACAGACAAACATAAAACAGTCCTTGCCTTCAAGTAACTTATTGATGGTGGTGGCTAGAGGAGGGGAATGAACACAGATATTCAGATAAGAAAATACAAAATAAGTTGTTGTTACTTTTGAGTATCGTCTGACTCATTATGAGCTTGTGGACTGTACCATCCGTGGAGTTTTCTTGGCAAAGACATTGGAGTGGTTTGTCATTTCCTTCTCCAGTGGATTAAGGCAAACAGAGGATAAGTGACTTACCCAAAGTCACACAGTAGGTATTCCTATTTTCCAGATTAGGGAACTGAGGCACAGAGAGGTTAACTTATATGGCCATGGTCAAATAATTTTAAATGTCAGAGGTGAGATTTGAACTCAGATCTCTCCCCATTCCATGTCCAGTATACCTTCCACTGCACCATTCTGCCAAGTCCAACTGAGGCTGTACCCACCATATCTCTCGCATCTGTCCCCTCATCTCCAGCTTCATGGCCACCACTTTATTCAGGCCCTCATTGGTAGACAGGATTAAAAGCTACAGAGAGGTCAAGGAGGCTGGAGACTGAGGAAAGGCCAATGAAATGAGTCACTAAGAGACCACTGGAAACCTTGAGGAGAGCTATTCAGTAGACTAGTAAGGACAGAAGCTAGATTGTAAGAGTTCAAAAGTGAATGAAAAGTGAGGAAGAGAAGGCGAAAAAAGGAGAAGATGTTTTTTCCTAGGGATTTGTCTGCAAAATGGAATTGAGATATAGGAGGAGAGAAAAACAGGGTTAAGTTTTGTTTTTGTTTTTGTTTTTAAGAATGGGGGAGACAGGTGTATCTGTATGTAATAGGAAGGAACTGGTAGTCCTTAAGAAGATATTATGGATGACAGAGAGACAGAGACAGAGAAAGACATAGAGACAGAGACAGAAAAAGACACAGAGATATGGAGACAGTCACAGAGAGAGGGAGAGAAGAGACAGAGAAAGAGAGAGAGAGACAGGGAGGGAGGTGAGAGGGAAAGAGAGAAAGAGAGAAAAGGGGGAGGGAGAGATGGGGGTAGAGAAGAGAGATGAGAGATGATCAAAGGGGCAAGCTCTCCAGAAAGAGGCAGGAAGGGATGGAACCAAAGGAATAAGTAAAGGGATTGGTCTTGAGAAAGAAAATGGCTGCCTCTATGTTAGAAACTAGAGTAAAAAAGTAGAGAATAAGGGATAATACTTTGTGATTTTGAGGTATGGAGTAGAGAAGAAGAGGAAGCTCATGACAGAGGATGACCTTGCTTTCCTTACTAAAGGCAGAGCTGGGCTCCTCTGCTCCAGCATCACACAGCTATTAAATGAACTCCAATCTTCCTGTCTCCATACCCAGAGCTCTATCCATTGTGCTGGTGAACTGAACTTGGCTCAGCAGCCAGTAGTACACAGTTGGGTATAATTAATGAAAAACCTCTCCAACTATCAGAGCTATCCTGAAATGGGCTGCCATGGTGGCTTCTCCCTCAATGAAGAGAGTAAACATAAGCATCTTGAGGGCAGGCACTGTTTTTTTGTTTTGGTTTTGTATTCCCAATACCTTAGCATGATGTCTAACTTGGTTTTTTCTTTATTGAACCTATGGTTTCACTGGT